ACATATACATATATATATATATATATATATATATATATATATATATATATATATATATATATATATATATTAGGTGATATAATAGAAATGACATATGAAAATTATTTAAATGAAAATATTACAATAAGCATTATATAATTATAAATAGTTAATAACAAGTAATTAATAAAAAATAGAAAGAGAAATTATGACAAATTGATATAAAATGTGTCAAATTTAGAGTGACACAGTGGGATAAACAGGCACTTTTTTTTTTGCTTCTTGTAAAAATTGTTGGCTATTTCAATATATAAAGTAAATTAAATGAATCATTCAGGCGTCAAAGTGTACGTTTAGTTTATATTTTTTAAAATTAATTGGGACAGTCCATTTTTTGATTAAAAGTTACATATGTTATCCATCGTTTGATCAATATCAACTCAAAACAAATAAATCATTGTCCAAGTTAATTTTTGAAAATAAGGAGTAAACGTATCTTTTAACATTTGTACGAGAGACAATTCATGTAATTTACTCTCTCTCTCTCTCTCTATCTCTCTCTCTCTCTCTCTATATATATATATATATATATATATATATATATATATATATATATATATATATATATAAAAGGTTGGGTTCAACAATGAACTATTTTAAACCATAGAACCAAAGAACCATTATATATGGTTGGATTAGAAAAATAAAGGGGCAGGATTTAGGTTGTAAACTATAAATTAAAACATAGTTGTAGCTGACTGTAAAAGTAAACGGAACTTCAGGGTCAATTTTGTAAAACTAAAACATTTTAGGCTTTAGACGTTTAACAGCGTTAGTTCAACTGCATCTTGTAAGTCATAATGATTTTACCCTCACTGAAAGCGATCATTTACTTCACCATACTCCGACAATCGATGATCGATTCTGACGATATCAATCGGGAATCTTGCCACAAAGTTCGAAAAATAAATCTTGAAGGTATATTCAACTACTATTCACTCATACTCCGATTATCTCATTTAATGATTCCAAATAAAAATGTCCGATTTCTAAAATTTCAACACCTAAAATCTAAATTACTTGTTATAGTATATATTCGATCAATATATGAACAACGTTCTATTTACAAAATCGTTTTTTAGCTTTTAAACAAAATTCAAACCCTCGGATGATCAACTTTTGTGAATTTCTATAAAAATCAAAAACCTAATGAGTTAAATTTCTTAAAATCGTTTAGGAAATCATCAATATCTAAGTTATTTGCTAAAATTTGTGAATCGAAATCATTTATGAGCTTATTCATTAAATCGAAGACCTAATTTCATATTCTGAATCACTGTTGTAGATCATAGAATCGCAAAATCACATTCAAAATTTGTGATTGATATGTTTAAAACATTATGATTGTTATATTTAACAAATTATGATAGTTTTCTTAATATTTATATTTAGATGCATCAATTAATCATTAACTTGGAATTTATATGTATAAATCATAACTTTCATATCATGAAAACACATGTTTAACTTAAATTTTTTTAAACAGAAAATGAAGAGAAGAAGAACGAAAAAAGAGTCTATACATGATGACATTCAAATTCATTCAGCTCATCCTGCATAGCCTTGATCCAGTCAACTTCTTTCAAGGCATCATAGACATTCTTTGGTTTAATCATTGAAATGAAGTTTACAAACATGCATAAGTTTTTTATGACTCTTCTACGAGTGAGAATCCCATAATTTACATCTCTAATGATTTGAGATTCAGGATGATCTCAAAGAATTCTTAGATTAGAACATTCATTAGTAATACTTTAAGCAGAGTCTTCCTGAATGGATGGATCAGCTTCTTCACGGATGACAGGCTGATCTTCGAAGATAGGTTGTGATCTGATAAATTGATCAACATTTGGAACAACGGGCTCAATATCATTTGGAAAGAGATCAAGAAAAGTGTCTGAAAGATTGTAAGTAAGTTCATTTAGGATTGATGAAGGATGATCAACTCAATCATGAATGAACGAGTCTTCATTGAAGGTAGCATGGACTATTTCCTCAACACTTTCCCTTGAATGATTGAATACCTTGAAAACCTTGGATACGTTGGAATAACCAAGAAAACTCCTTCATCATCTTTAGCTTCAAACTTCGAGCGGTGCTCTCTTTGATTCAAGATGTAACAAACACATCCAAACACATGAAAGTGTGAGATATTTGGCTTTCTTCCCTTCAGTAACTCCTAAGAAGTTTTCTCATTAGGCTTAACAATAATGGATCGATTTTGAGTATAACATGATGTGTTAACAACTTTAGCCTAAAATGATAGAGGAAGACCAGCTTCAACAACCATAGTTCTTTCGACTTCAATGAGAGTTCGATTCCTTCTTTCTACATACCATTTTGCTGGGGAGTTCTAACAGCAGAGAAGTTTTGAGAGATACCTGAGTTAGGGCAAAAGTCTTCCAGATAAGTGTTCCTGAATCCAGTTCCGTGATCACTACGTAATTTCCTTACTTTATGATCATAGAGAACTTCCCACTGGTTGATGAGAGCAATGATTTCATCTGCGCATAAACTCTTCTTTCTTAAAAAGACTACCCACTTAAATCTTGAAAATTTATCCACAATTACTAGAGTGTATTTCTTTCCAGCTCTTGACTCAACCAGAATTGGTCTAAAAAGATCCATGTGAAGAAGATGAAGAGATTTGATAATGAAAGTGCATGACTTAGGTTTGAAAGAGGACTTGGTTTTCTTTCCCTTTTTCACACGTTGAGCACAGCTTATCCTTGACAAGATGCATTTTTGGAATCTCCTTTACAAGTTGATTCCCAAAGATCTTAGATATGTTCTTAAAATTGAAATGTGATAACCTCTTGTGCCACATCTAATTTAAATGAGACTGATTACAAGAAAAAAAACTGTAACGGAGGGATTTGTCAATAGAAAACATATCCAACACATAAATGTCATTATGTTTGTTTGCAGTCAAAACAGTGACATTCTTTTGATCAACGTCCTTTCCTTCTCTCTTGTTGTAAAGGACTTCATAGCCAGCATCAAATAGTTGACTGATTGAGATGAGGTTGTGCTGAAGAACCTTCACATAAGAGACATTCTGGAATACTAATGAGTTGCACTTGATAGATCCATGACCCTTTGTAACTCCCTTACCATTATATCAATATGTCACAGTATGACTATCTTTTTTTATGAAATCTTCCACTCTCTCTAAAGATCATCCAACTTGCCTTGGTATTCATGATCGGTTAGAGGTATTACACTTGTGATACTAAACTCTTAAGGGTTGAAGATTCTTGATACAATTGAAAGGTAATCATATAAAATTGTTTTAGTTATTATTTTTGATTTTTGTATGCTAGAATTAGGGTTACAAGCTTAGGATGATTTGCACGTACAATTAGAGAAACCTAGATCCAAAATTTTAGGGTTTGCATGTACACCATAGGATTGATGTAATGCTTAAAACCCATCACTTTCAACTTTATGTCCTTTATATGGTATTGAACAGGAATCGGTGGATGACTTGCTAGTTAGATGCTTGATGACGATTGATGCTAGATACTATATCCTAAAATGGTGTGGAATTCAGGTCTCCTAATTCGATAGTGTGACTAAAATCCTAAATTGTGCGACTACATGGGGAACTGTCCTAGAAAATGGTAAAAGTCACTGTAGTGTTCTATGCGCTTCTATGGTTCACTTGGAAGGCACAAAACAATAAGATTTTCAAGGTGATTAATACAAATTTTGTAAGGATTGATGACAAGGTCATTTTTGAGTTGTATTCTAGGTTCAAATACAAATTCTAGAATATGTGCGGTAGATAGATTGATCGGAGTATCTCTCCTTTTTGTTAATTTTTGTTAAATTACTGTAATGTTACACTTTCTCACTGTTACCCTTGTACTATTGCTCACGTTTAGTTACTTGCTAATCGCATAGTTTTTTAAAATTATTTGTTGATTTGCTGTTTCTAAAAACATACTGATTAAAAGTTGATGCGGAAGATTTGATTAAAATTTAATGTGGAAGAGTCAAATGAGAGGCAAAATTAGTACCACATAAAAATTATGGATTGATGGATTAAAAGTTGCTGCGGAAAAATTGATTAAAAGTTAATTAGTTGTGATACTCATGTATTACATGGATTTTTTTTAAAGTTAAATATAAACATCAAAATATTTGAGAATATTGAAATTATGAGAAAATAAGAAAAATAATGATTTATTATAATGGAAATATATTTTATCTTTTAAATTTAAACAAATAATTTAAATAAAAAAATATTGAGTTTTTTATTTTAATAATTTTGAAATTAAAAAGTAATTTTATTAATGAAATTAATATCAATTTATTACTACACTTATTGCAGTTATTATATTTAAATATTATATGAAATTTTATAAAATAGAAAAAAATGTAAGAAAAAAATTAATTCAAAAATAACCACAAAATTATATTTAACAAATTGAATTAAAATGTAAAAAATAATTTAAAATAAAATATTAAAAAAAAAAAAAAAAACCTTCGTTTGTTAGGGAATATTAGAAAAGATGGGGAATGGTCAACTTTCAAATTAGTGAGTGGATTGATTAAAATTTGAAGCTGAGAATAAACCCCCAAATCAATAATCTTAGCTCTGATGTGTGGTGTATAACACCCCTCAATGTGTTTGTACTAATTAGTACGTCTCTTTTTCCCTTCAACAATCAGATCAGTCTTCCAATTTTTTGGGCCTGATTTTCAATATCGTCTTTTAGCCGTTTAAAAAGAAACATGTTTTACACCTTTCCTTCATGGCACAGTCTCAATCATGACAGGCGTTTCTTGATTCTAGAAAGATTTCGGAAATTTAATGTAAATCCAAATGGTTAGTGGTGTGTCTTTCTAGTTTTTACTCGTATGTATAAATTTTATATTCAGAAAAAATTCCAAGCAATATTCCATACATTACAATTTCTAAATTAAAGCCATATCATATCCCTAAAAAAAAAAAAAAATCATTGTTTACCAATAAACCAAACCTCATTTGATATGCATCTTTTCGGGTCCAAATAGATCTTTCTGTCTGAATGGACCGAAAAAACTATTTGATTTGCACAAAAAAAAAGATCTTTCCCGGTTATATATATCTTTCTCAGAAAGCCTTAAAATTATATATTTCTGACTAAATGAACTTGAAAAACAATTGTACACAAACGCCACCTCTTTTGGATTATTAATTTTTTTAAATAACTTTTTTAAAATTATTTTTTATTGAATTATTACTTTTTTTTTCATCATAACACAATCAATCAGATATACAATCAAACAGTATGGTTTCTTTTCCAGTCAGAAAACTTTCCCAAACAGCATTTTACCAGACATTACCATACCAGACAGAAACTATCAAATCGAACCTAACTGCTTTCTAATTTCCAACACAACAACTACTTTCTTACTTCTTAATTAATACTTACAATTTTTTAGGCCTAAACTCGATACCTTGAATAACAAGCCCAGTCTTCCAATTCCCTCCGTTCACCTCCGCCACACGCAGCTCCAGTTCCGCCGCATCACCACCGCCATTAAAGTATTCTCCGATCTCAATCTCAAACCACCCATCGTCTCTTTGTTTCGGACCATTCTCTTTAGAAGGTGGAGGCACAACATCCCAATTCGCGAATGCCCCTTTGCTAAATATCCCAATCCGTCTCCTTGATCGGAGTCCTCGCCTCCGCCCTGCTTCAGGGTCGAGATACACCAACCGGGTTTGACTCCGGTCGCCGTGAAAACCAATACAGACTTCCACCGGTTGGTACTCAAACCCATAAGCTTTCGATGTTGTTTTGAACACAAGAAGAGCAACGTATGTTGTATCAGGGGAGAAGATTGAAGTATTGATTTTGCCGATGATTTCAAGTAAACTCACACTGATAAGTTCTGCTACCTCTTTGAATCTAGAATTCGAGATTTGAGTTAAATTCAGAAAGATAACATTTTTAATTTACGATCTGTAAAAGGTGTTAATTAATACCTTGATTCTGGTGTTTGTGTCCATATCCAACAATTTGGAGAATCGGAAGAAGCAATTGACAGTTGTCTCGCGGATAACATGTAGCATTTCTTCCCGCTGCTTTTATCCAACCAGAAACTCTGTTGAAAATTAAATGAAAAAAACAATTAGATCGAATCGACACAATCCGAAGCTTCTTTCCTGTTTCCAGATCTCAAAAACGAATTTCATTTGTTTTTATTGGTAGAAGAATAACAGAAAGTGTGAAATCAAATTGGACAGTTGTTCGAAAGTATACCTTGTTTCCTTCATCTATGATGATTGGATGATCACAGAGACGTAGATACACCTCCTTCTTCGATCCGACTGCACCACCGTCCGCCGTGTCAGTCAGGTACTCCGGCGGTGTGAAAGTCTCCCATACGCTGTCCCACTGTGCCGCCGACCGGAAAAGGGAATTGACGGAGGACAATCGGGAAACATCTCGAGGGCTGGTGAGTGCCAATGCTTCTGCTACGAAACCTTCAGGCAAAGACTTGAAAAAATCCTCCATATCTGCTTTCAATTTTGAAAAAACTTCAGAGATTAGTGGTTGTATAAATGTGGGTGTGTGGGGTATAAATGGAGACATTACGTCAATGAATTGTTTAATTGTGGTTCATATCATATCAACAAAAAGTCAAGAACCAAAAGTTCTTACTTGTAATGTTATGTGGTGTCCAGCTATCTATTTTTTTTTTTTTTGAACGGTCGGCATTTTTATTTAAAAAAAATTAGTCTAGAAGGTGCAAAATGTCAATATACATAGAAAAAATTCGATACATGACTAAAAACTCGGTCGTTTGAAAATAATAAATATGAAAAAACCTATTTCGGGATCTGATCATAAGATCCGCAGAACACCTTCTCCGGATCGAGTAAACTCTTTGAGGAAATGGAACACCTCTACGGATCTTGGGTTTTTTTAATTTTTGTTTTTTCATTTTTTCGTTTTTTTATTTTCGTTTTCATTTATTAATATTAATTTTTTAATCAAAAAATGTATTATGTGATTATTATGTAAAAAATTTGACAAAAAAATGATAACGATAATGAACTTATGTTTAATATCAGTCCACATAACTGTTTGGGAATCCAAAAAACTGTTTTCTGCGGATCAGTGTACATCTTTGTGGATCAGTTATAGAACTGTTTTCTACGGATCAGTGTACATCTCTGCGGATTTGTGTACATTTATGCGGATCAGTGTACACCTCTGCAGATCAGATATAGAAGTTATAGACATATTTAAGTGGTTTTTGTGAGTTTATGAGTTTCAATTACCAGTAAAAGTTGTTTTTTCATTGTGTTTTGTGGAGAGTGATTTGTAAAATGAGTTTTAGGATTTTGTGTACGGGAGGGTCGTGACAATTAGTTAATGGAGATGAGGTTTACGTTAGAAATAATGTGAAAAACTATGGTTTAAATCTTCTTGCCTAACATTGACCATAAAATGTTATTACAAATGGTTAGAAGTAAGGTATGTGTGTTAAATAGTCATATGTGTTTGTCTTTTAAACATCCGAAGTTAGGGAATGTCATTGAGCTTGGAAATGAAACTGATGTATTTCAACTGAGACATGTAATGTCTGAATCAAAGAAGACGGTGCATTTGTATTTAACGGTGGTAAGTGAAGAAGCTGAAGAAGAAGCAGAGGTTAACAACCAGCTTAATCCAATAAAAACTAATATAGGTCGTAGAGAAAGCCAATGTGATGGAAACCGTTCAAGGATAAGAGTAAATGAAATGCCAGTGGGTTACGAAAAAAAAGTTTTGGTTATTGATAAATTTGTATCTGATAATGATACTTTTGTGTCAAATAATGATAAAGAAGTAAAAGAGGTTATAATTGAATTACAACGTGAGGAAAAATCAAATGAATGGTGGTCGGATGATGAGTATACACAACGAAAAATTGCTTTTAATCCATGGTATTGTATTCCTTTTATTCATGATCATCCAGAACCTATTCTTGAACCTGGACCATTTCATAGTTTATGTTCGAATGATGAATTAATTGTCAATCAAACCTATAACACCAAAAAAGACCTAGCATTTGCTGTTAAATTCAAAGCCATTAGAGAAAAGTTTCAGATAAAGGTTGAAAAAACTTCAAAATCTCGGTACCAAGTTGTTTGTATGCAAGAAAACTGTCATTGGCATTTATACGCATCTCTCATTAAAGGAACATAAATGATTGAAATTAAGACGTTTAATGACAAGCATACATGTTCTTCATTGCTTATACATCCAAATCATAGGCAAGTAAATAGCGAAGTTGTGGGAACCGTAATACATGACATTATGGGTCAAGGAAGTTTGAGAGTTTGGAAGCCTAATGATATAATTAGATATATGAATGCTTTGCTACAAATAAATATGAGTTATTCACAAGCATGACATGCTAGAGAATTTGCTTTGGGATTGATGATGGGGACCCCCGAAGAAAGTTTCTTCAAACTTCCAGTTTATTTTCACAATCTGAAGAAACATAAACCTGGCACTGTGGCGTACATAAAAACTAATTCGGAGGATCGTTTTGAGTATTGCTTTTTCGCTATTGGATGCGTGGTAATATATTTTTAAATATATTTGTTATTTTCTTAAATGTTTATAAGAAAATTATATTGTCGATATATTAATGGTTTTCATGTTGTTGTTGCAGATACGTGCTTTCAGAGAGTGTTGTAGAAAAGTTATTATTATGGATGGTGCTCATTTGAAGGGAAAATACAAAGGCACCATCTTGCATGCAGTAGCCATGGATGGCAACAATCAGATTTTGCCTATTGGGTATGGAATTTGTTCAAAAGAGACTACGGATTCTTGGACATGGTTTCTTGAAAAACTACTTGAATGCATTGGTGATGTGGAAGGTCTGACAATGGTTACAGATAGAGTACCCGCAATTGCTGTAACTATTCAAAATGTTTTTCCAAATGCTCAACATGGATTGTGTGGTTTTCATCAAATAGCAAACATAGTCCACACCTTTGGAAAAAAAAAACAACAATTTTGTTTTGGAAGCTGGTAAGAGCTTACAAAACAACTGAGTTTGAATTCTATTGGGAGAGACTTTGTAATATAAGAGATGATATAGTGACATATCTCAGTCAAATTCCATGTAAGAAATGGACGAAAGCGTATTGCCATACCATGAGGTATGATTATATGACCTCAAATAGTGCGGAGTCCATGAATGATGTATCAAATAAAGCAAGGAAGTTGCCTATATTACCACTTCTTGAGTTCTTTTGCGCACTTATGTAGAAATGGTTTTACAAACGGAGGATGGTTGCATGTATGATTATGTTTAATTTTAAATTATATGATAAATGTCATATATAATAATATATGTTTGTTTTAACAGAAAAAAGTACAGCAATACTTACGAAGTGGGTTGAAGATATGGTTAAAAAATAAATAGGGGATTCACGGATGGTCGGTATCCGGTGTTGACAATACAACATATCAAGTGCATGACTTCAAAAGTGGCGGCATAGTGAATTTGAGGGAAAATACTTGTTCTTGCAAATATTGGCAGCTAACTGGTTTCCCATGTGGTCATGTGATAATGGTTTTAACGCACTTGAAAAATGATCACTGTGGGCATATATGGCTATATATGCTTATAAAAGTGAAACATATCGAAGAACGTACGAGCATGCCGTATACCCTCTTTCAGAACTTAGTGATTGGGAGGTTCCTTAACCCTCCTGTGATGGAAATACGTCAAGCCGGTAGACCAAAAAACAACAATCGTATTCCCTCTCAAGGTGAGCAACCAAAAATAAGAAGGTGTAGTGGATGCCATAGCACAACTCATAATGCAACGACATGTAAGGAAACCACTCCAATGAACCAAAGTAGCAGTAAAAAATCGTACTGGGGCATCAGGAAATGGGACAAAAACGATACAATGGGAAACGAAACAAGCACATGAGTCAGATAACCAATGGACGCAACATACCAAACAACAATGGCAGCAGTAGCCAGACAACCAATGAACACAATAGACCAAACATCAATGGAAACAGCAGCCAGACAACCAATGAGCCAGAGAACCAATGGACGCAACATACCATCGATGGAACCATGTGATTTCGTTCTTTAACTCCGTCCACTTACTAAGAATATCTACTTGTACCCGATATTCTCCTTATCCCAATGAGAGGTTGAACATACCTATTATGCGGGTCCATTCATCACCTCCAAGGTAACCAGGGGTAACCATTGTTGTTACACCTTAAAAAATGTTCAGCCAACATTGTATTATAACCATCACCTCTCTTGTCATCCATGTACGTGGAGTATCGAACGACGATGTTGCATTCGTCGAAGTTGGTGCCATGGAGGCCATTTCTATATTTTTCAATATTGGGGTGAGTTGATACAATATTTAACCGGTATGCTAATTAATACACTGATCCGCAGAGGTGTACACTGATCCGCTAATAATAGTTCTGTGGATTCCCAAACAGTTCTGTGGACTGATATTAAACATAAGTTCATTATTTTTATCATTTTTTGTCAAATTTTTTACATAATAATCACATAATACCAAAAATTTAATATTAATAAACAAAAAAAAAAAAAAAAAACACAAACAAAAAAACAAAAAAACCCAAGATCCGCGTAGGTGTTCCATTTCTTTAGAGGGCTTACTCGATCCATAGAGGATGATTTGCGGATCCTATGGTCATTTACCGAAATCCTTTTTTCATGGTTATTATTTTCAAATGACCCCTCTTCATTGGTCATTTACTGAATTTTCTCATATATATATATATATATATATATATATATATATATATATATATATATATGAGAAAAATGATTATGTGGCTGTCATCTATGTAATACTATGTATAGAACCATCTATATTGACTTCATTTGATTCACTTTTAGCTTTTTCCTATTACTTTTGAACTCTTATTACTTTTTATTTTGGTAATTCATCTCCAACATCTATGTATTTCAAATGTGTTTTTTTGTTAGACCTCTAGTAGAAGTTTCATAACTTCCTCCGACACCTACCTTATGTATACTTGCATTGTTTTTTCTTTGGATTATGAGAAGAGGCTTATCGGGTTTTTATTGATCAATTACGGTTTGTGGTGCAAAATTAAACTCATAAAACTCCATAAAAAAATATACAAAACCTAACATAAGATCAAATTGAGGATACATGAAATATTGTAGAAATACTTGATTGAATTTTGTTAAAATTATGCAGTGTTTTGTGGTTCTATACCTAATATTAGGTACATAACAACTAAATATTCCCCAAGCCATATATATTTTTGTTAGTTAGCCATTAAGTAGGACTTTACTTTTTTTTTTTTTTTTTTTTTTTTTTTTTTTTTTTTTTTTTTTTTACAGTAAAATCCAAACTACCAGCAGTTTTGACACGTTTATTTATTTATTTATTTTTGTTCGTTAGCCGTTAAGTAGGACTTTATTGTAAAAAAAAAGTTTAGGACTTTCTTGTTAAATCGTGAATTAGGACTTTAATATCAAAAAAATAAAGTTTAGGAGTTTTTTGTTAAATCGTTGAAAATATTGAAACTTTAGTGTGTGTGTGTGTGTGTGTATATATATATATATATATATATATATATATATATATATATATATATAT